CTAGAGAGCAGAAGAGCAAGACCACGATTGAACAAGATCACGTGTCAAAGGAGGCGTAACACATCTACAACCTCAAAAAACGATCGGAAACAAAAATGATTACTATTTAAAAAATCTCTTTACTTTTATGGTCTAAGATTAAGAATGATTACCGAGCTGACCCTATTTTTAGTAAAGTAGTTAAAAAGGAAAATATTTTTAAAAATAAGATGACAAAACAATTATAAATAATTGGTATACATCTGAAAAGTATGATACACTCTCAGGATTGCTCCATTTAGGCTAAAAACAAAATGACATTGTCGGGATTTCGTTCTTTTGCATTTTTTAAACCGTCATTCTGCCTCTTTAATTAAGAAAAGATAATAGATCTATGAAAACGTGGCGTAAAAAAGCAACAAAAACCCCCCAAACAAACAAAAATTCCCAGCCCAGCTTAGATGAACCGGTTACACAACACCTTCCAAGTAAAGTAAACATTCCTGTATCGTTATCTTGACTTCATTTTCTGACAAAGATACCCACAACCTCTTCTAGTACAATTATTATCTCTAAATTCTCACAACAGAGAAGTGGAAAGAGATCTCTCCAGATTAACCAGCGAGCAAGAAGACACATCCGCGAGAACTCCCCAATTGATTTTCGACGCCGAGCCGCCTCGTTTTCCCCATGTCTAAACGAATACATTTATCATCCTCCTCCTCCCTCTCCCTCCCCTCCTCCCCCACCTCCTCCCTCTCCTCCAACGCCTCCTTAGACCCCCACGAGTCACCCTTCTCGGCCGTCCCAAACAAATTGGGCCCGAGTCTTTGCAAATCTAGTTTGCTCACACACAGCCGCCCCCCCCCCCCCCTTTCGGTCCTGGCTTCCCATCCATTTAGGGCTGAGCGTTAAACACTCTCCAAGATTATTGATTTCTTGTCCCCCATCCGTCTCCCCCCGGGCCTGGAGGGGCCAAAGAGCCAGGCACGGGCTCATCCCCTTTACAAATTGGCCCCGGTATAAAACGGCGCATCCCCGGCTCGCGATCAATAAAATAATAACCTCCCCTGACAGCCAGGGGGGGGGGGGGGGGGGTTT